CCGGACCGTCTCCCGTCACTGTGGGCGTGTCCCCCTCTTTTATGCACTTGCGGGGCCGGACGTTTGCGCGGCCCAGACGTTCTTTGGGTGGTCGTAGCGGCCTCTGGTGGTGGTGGCCGGCCCTCGCTCCCACAGTATAAAGTTATCGCCTCGCGCTCCGAAGATCGCTAGCCATTGGCACATGCTTGTATCAGTTCAGTTCAGAAAGCGTTTATTGGCCTTTGGGGGAGGGAGAATGGGGCTGAGATCGGTGGCTTACAAGCCTGGATCTATGGCCAAGGGAAGGGGTTGAGGGGTTGAGGGGGGTTATGGATAGGCGGTGAGCCCCGCATCATGGATGAAATCCACGAGCGTGGTCATATTCCATGTCATTTTCTTTCTTCTTCTCTTTCTAAGATACATTGAGTTGTGAGTTTCAGCGTCTTCCCTGTCATCTGTTTTCTTCAAGAGTTTCCTAACGTTGTTCGCTAAATTCAACCTGGTCTCAGTAGGAAGTTTGTTTCGCTCGTCGCTGTAAAAGTAGGACCGCTGAAACGATGATATTTGCAAGTGAGTGAGATTCTCACTAAAGCACAGTGTGTGTCATGTTTCATTGAGACAACAGGTGAAGGAGTTAAATGATACAAACGAATAAATGTTTCGTTCAGTATGTCCACCTCTATCTTAGTTGGAAATTTGTTTCTCTTGTGGCTAGAAAAATAGGAATGTTTGGGCGATGATATTTGGAGGCGGGTGAGATGTTCACTAAAGGAAAGTGTGTGCCAAGTTTCATTGAGATAGATAGTTGAAAGTTATGTTTCGGAGGAAAAAAATAATAAAGTTGTGCGAGATATTCAGTATTGAACCCAAGATGTCGTGTAAGCTCGCGCTGCAGAACCCAGGGATCCTGGGTTCGAGCCCCACCCCTGCCCGTTTCGATCTGTATGAGAATCGTACCGGCGTGCGGTCGTGTATCACTACTGCGTGATGCACGTTAAAGACCCCAGGCTAGCGGCTGTACCGCACTGGCTAAATTTCTCATCTACAGCTGGGAGACTCGTCGCCCCTGTGAGGCAGACCAAGTTCTAGGCTGTATAAACACACACACAACCCAATTATTATTGAACAGAGATGGCACAGTGAAACAGATGGAAAATGGTTTTGCGTGGCGTCGCTGAATGTAAACCCACTTTGACTGCCAAAGGCTGTCAAGAGAGTACCACCCGTCGTGGGAGGCGGACCCTTTACAGGTAGAAAGTGTCCAGTGAACAGTACTTTCGGTTCGTATACCTTTATGAAAGGTTGTTCCAAAGCCAAGAAAATAAATTTGTCAGCTACAGAACTCGAGGTGCCGGAATTTCCACGTCCAAAAAAAGGCTGATCGAAAAAGAAAGCACACGACATAAACTGCCATACTCAAACGCCGACTCTAGAGTGATCCGAAGACTCATTGCATTTTGCTTAGCTTTTTGCTTTTTGACATTTCTCACTTTTTGTACCGTCCGAATCTTTCTTTATGAAGACGAGACTGCATGCCATACTGGTCCAGAAATATCATCGACACGTACGATGGGGACGAAACGTCTTTGGAGGGCATTCCTCCAGTAAAATTGGCACTGCATACCCGCCAGCGTGGGATGGAATTTAAATTCGTCCCATTGGCGCTAACATATGTAGGCGTTACTGGTACAAAAACAAACACAGAACGCAAATCCGTAGCGTAGAATATGTCAGCCGTGCCGATACAGTGGCCGACACGATCGGGAGACCGAATTTCTCGCGTCGTATGGCTCTGGTTCATCGTTGTCGCTGTCCCACAAAACATCAGCGAGTTGAAAAACTGTGAAACTTTTCCCCACGAGATACGACGTATAACTATTGGAGCCCTTAAGAATGCAGCAATTTATGCGGTCAACCCAGCGCAACCATGTTCCAACTTCAGTATGCCAATGTATGCGTCCTGGTTTCGTCTCGCAGGGGTTCTCACTCCCTAACTTCGCTAACGGGCGCGCGGCGGCGCGCCGGTCGCCTCGCACGGAGTGTATACCAAATATAAAAAGAATCCTTCTGAAAATCTTGAGAGGCGTCTTCAAGAACTAGATTTAGTTCATGAAAGCAACATATAAGTACGGCCCAGGAGGATTATTTTTGTGGATTGGCAAAAGCTATCAGCACCAACTCCAAAGCATTCTGGAGTTATCTTAAGAAAACACGGAAAGAAAGAACAGTCGCCCCGAGCATTACAAATAGTGGTGCAGTCATAGTGGACAATGCCATTAAAGCCATCTGTTTTAATGCATATTTTCTGTCAATATATATTTTTTCTAAATCAGTGGCTATCAAAATCTGCAAATTCTCGCAGATAGGGTAGAAAATGCCATGCCTTGCGTCATAATCACAATGGAGGGAATAATAAATTATTTAAACTCTTTAATGAAGATAAGGCATTCGGCCCAGACGAGATGTCTGCCAAGGTATTAAAGAACTCCTGCAAAGCATTTTTTATAAATAGTATGGTTGAGACACGTGTATCAAAAAATAAATTTTACGCGAAAAAAAAAATTCTTTTTACAGCAATATTGACGGCGCGAGACGCGATTTAGTCGGCAGTCACCTCCTTTCTCTTTGTTTTCTCTGTCGGCATTTCGGGCGCGTGGAGAAGAGGTGGAGCGGCTTCGCTTTCACGACCAAGATGGTCATTCCGGAATGACCAGTGACGTCATGGACTTCGCGCGCAGAATTTCAAATAAATCTTTCGTTGTCAATATTGCTCTAAATTTGTTTTCGCGTAAAATTTATTTTTTGACACGCGTGTCTCAACCAGATTGATTAAAAAACTTCTTTTTTTTCTTTTTTGGGGCTCCTTAAGAGCCCGCTCGGGTATAGTGTCGAAATACGTTTATGTAATTTTCCGTAAGTAGCTCAAAACTAAGTTACTCAGCGAAAATTATAAAAAAAAAACATATCTTGTAACAGTTCCAACAAACGAACCAAAAATCAATCTTTGACGATGATAGGCCGATTTCGTGAACTTCTATAACCATACCATTCTCCCTTTTGAAAGAGTTCTGGTTTTTATTACTAGTACTGGCCTCATACACTGTAATTTGTTTTACCCATTTGTGAAGGACTGCGTCGTAGCATTAGGATCATAGTAGCTCGATTTCTTTGTTAGTTTGTTGCTAGATGGTCCTCAGTTTCTTTTGTGCCATAAAGCCTGCCAACGACACCTCCGGCCTCCGCCATAATGTGGCATCAAATTGTAGACCCACTCTCAATTAGTCACGCCAGGCATGCGGTGACACGTCATCGTACTGAAAGTGTTTTTCGTTAATGTGACCATCTTTGTGGCTGTTCACACCATCATCAGCTAAAACTTACTTATCTGCTACTCCCTCTTCAAATTATATGACATTCAATTAATTCCACTTTTGTCAAATGTGATGTTTGAATACTTTGACTATTTTTTTTCTGAAAACTGATCACTACAAACAATTCAGTGCCGCGCCGAGCGCCATCTCGGAGAGGCGCTGCGACCCGTGCGCTGAATGGCCAGATTCGGGCAGGGTGCAAGCAATAATCAAATAAAAATCAATAATATGTGTGGGAAAACAAGCAAAACTGTTCAATATCAAAATGCTGGACACCTCCAGCAAGGAAATCACACAAAGAAGTGTGTGTTCGGTACAGTGCCGCACTCACTGCGTGGTACTGGATAATCCAGGGATAGCAAACTCACTCAGACGGCAAGCGCCGTCAGAATACACTTTTGGCGCGGCTTGACTGAACCCATCGGATAGCAGTGGTGGCTTCGGACTGATTTAATGTGAAACCGAGTGGAGGGTTCCTTTCTACTCAAGTTAAAGCGCGTGTAACTTCCAAGAAACTTGAGTGTCTCTTGCGGAAAATTTTGATATGTTCTTTGCTACCATCGCCCGATGCAGATAAATCACGGTAGGGCAATGAACGGTACTAATTCTGAATGATCGCTTTTGGAGCAACGAACTTGGGGTACAGAAATTTGTTTTCTTGTAAAGGTGAACGTAGCAGATGCTACAAGACATAGCTCTCTGCTTTCAGCGTCCATGCCAAGCACGCGCTTTTCTGCAGTTCAACCATCATTCCGAGCAACATGCTTGTTCCTGTATCTATCGACGCCGGTCACGCTTAAAGTCCGACAACCAGCTCGCGCTTTCCCCATTTCCCTCGCTTCCTCCTCTTCTCTTTCTACACTGTCCACCGTTGCTTGTTTCCTTCTCCGCCATGGTGAGAAGGATCTTCTGCCTTGCAGAATCTCGAGTCTGGTCGTGAGCCTTTAAAGTGAAACGGAGTATGGTAGGATTTTTGCTGTGCTAATATATATTACAATGACAATTTTGGCTCGTACAGGGTAAGGCAGTAATAGCGTGGAACATGTTTGCACACGAGAATATTAAAATTAACTATTTAAGGCAGAAATATATGAATTATGGAGACGAAACGGGCTTAGAAGACAATACTGTATTGTCTACTAGGTCCCTCTTTCGTTTTTGTAATTTAGTTAGTAGCGCGCTAAACCACACAAAAAGAACAAGGTGAATTTCGAACTTGACGTTTAAACGGAATTAATTTTAAGAGCTGGTGCGGGTTGGTCGCAGGAGCAGAGACTACGTAAACCCTACCAAAAAATCTGGTATAACTTTCCCTATCCGGAATATGGAACCGGAAATTTGTTACTGGAAACCCGAAATCCAGATTGAGAACAAAGGAATAATTTCTGAAAACCTAAATTCCAGATAGAGTCCAGATAGAATCCAGATAGATTTCCGGTTCCATAATCCGGATAGCGAAAAGTTATACCGGAATTTTCGGTAGGGAAGACATTAATTGTACTCAGTAGTTAACTAATTTATTGCTCAATTCACGTGTAACCCAACCGGCGACATGTCAACGTGTCTGATGCATACTCCAGAGCGCATACTTGGTTGCTTCTAGAGAATACTTAATTTGTTTTTTTTTTTGTTTTTTCTGAATGGCATATTTTACTGTATGACTGATTCAGTGACGTTCCCGTGGATGATTATTCGTCCCTCGACAGGTGTCTTGATTGGTGACATTTTACGAATATACTCTACAAGGATATCAAAATCAACTGGACCTGAAAAAGAAAATAATTTGTTTTGGTGATCGTGCCAGTTACCATTCTACAAGACAATATGCTAAAATATAACAATGTCCGAATAAAACCCAATCTAACAGATTATTTTGCAAGAGGTCAATGTTTTTCGTTTCTTTTTTTACGTGTACTCTTACTGTGAAAACATCAAGGCATCTCATTTCCACCGATTTTCTGGCGGGTAATTTCTACGCTGTCTGCGGAAGGAAGCCAGCACGAAAAAACAACGCTTTCTACGATATCAGTAGGTGCTATCATTTTTAGGTTACTCGTTTTCTGAATGTGCCGGGAAATGTAATGCAGTTCGCCTCGCCCTACGACGAACTAGAGTTCTAAGCTACGGGCCGGCCAGTCCAATCATGAGCCACTTATAAACCTCATGGCGTATTGCTCCAAAGTGCCCATCAGTGTGCACATCTTTATGCACAAATACGCACGTGGGACCTGCGTAAGTTGTTTATAGCTGTAGTTAAAAATTCGACCCGACAACTTTTAGTCCGCCAGGTCCGATCTTTGTACTCTCATTCTCTCCGCAGGCAATGAGATTAAAATCTTAGCCAATGAGAACGCCGAAGAACTAGACGCAAAACGCAAAGCGTGAACACTGAAAGTCACGTACTCCGTTTCGGTGACGATAGACGTTATTTTTGGTGAAGATTTTCTACAACAATATGATACAGTCAAGTTAATTAAAATCAATCAAAGTACCACAACTTTCTACCTGATTCTCCGTAGTTTTTTGCTTTGGCAAATCCATCTCCACCTCTGGCTACAAAGTCTGTCGTAACGATTGTGTAAATTTCTTCGTCAACTACGTTTTCGTAGAGAGGCACCTTGCATTTTCGACAGAGTATTTTTAGGGATATGACCCGGCATGATGATGGCAGCGACAAGTTGTACTCAACGCGGATGCCTGCGGGAATGAAAGGATTAGTTTGCAATTGTTCATTGCTCTCTCCTTTAACATATAAAAGCAAAAGAATAGCCTAAAACTTCTAGTTGTATCGGTGATTCCTTTATGGTTTTCGAGGCTTTTTTACCCATTAAATATAGGAGCTTACCAGAAACTTGAAGAAATTCTCCCTTCTTGTTTAGATAGCTGAAGTTTGCAACCGAATGTTCGAACATATTTCGTAATGTGGTTCCATTCAGCGTGACATTGATAATAGTTTGACCAAATGGTGCAGTCGTGAGTATTGCGCCCATTGTTATCTCTGTAATAATAAATAATGTCTCTGAATGACATGCAAGCATTTCTACAATCAGTAAGAGTGGCCTTATATACGCAAACACCGAAGGATTCGAAAATCACAGTCATATTCAATGAAAGGTATAGCTTTTGTTAATCCTGTACTTCACTATCGCTATATCCACATGAAACCTACAAGAGAAAAGTGGAACGTTAAAGAAAAGTTATACTTTACAAAACATATCAAGCGAATATTCTCAACCTTCTGAAAGATTCTGGCTACGATAACTTTGAGGCTTGTGCACGCTCAAGTGATGGTTTAAAAATTTAAAATTCCTCCTTGGGTACCCGAATTTCATGGCGCATCTGTATGCGCCATGTTATTCAGACTACGCGTTTGTTCACTTTAGGCTTCATTATCTCTTTGACGTGGCATAGATTTGGCGTTTTGGATTTTTTTCTCTTTGCAAAGCACCAAAGTTTTTCTTTCTTTCCCTTGGAGTAATTGGCTGCTAATACAATGCAATGGCTCCCTTCCGTTGTAAAGGGCTTTGAAGGAGTACCGCGAACAGATATCACGGGATTAAAACATATGTTCAACAGTTCGGTAAACACAATGCTGTCATATGCAATGCTTTCTTTGTCACTAAAAGCTTAAAGGACCCCTGAAAAAAAAAAGAATTTTTTTAAGCACTCAGGGTGGGACACGCGTGTCAGTAAATAAACTTTAGAGTAATTTTGAGTTCGAGAGAAATATTTGAAATTCTGCGCGCGAAGTCCGTGACGTCACGGGTCATTTCGGCATGACCATCTCGGTCGTCAAGGCGAAGCCGATCCACCACTCCTCCATCAGCCCTAAATACCGACAGAAAAAGCAAATGGAAAGGAGGTGACTGCCGACTCAATCACGTCTCGCGCCGTCAATACTGCCCTAAAAAAGTTACGAAAAAGAAAGCGCAAAATTAGTTTTTCGACACGCGAGTCTTAACCAGACTGTTAAAAAACAAACTTTTTTTCTTTTTCCGGTTTTTTTTTTTTTTTTTTTTTTCTAGAGAAACGCAGGTTGTGGCCCGTCCCGAGCATCTAATTGTCGCGCCATAGCCACTGAAACTGCGGCATTAGGCAATGACAAGGCAGAATGGAGAATCAAGAGGGCAGAACCGCGAATAAAACAAGTCACGCGATGCGTTCCTAAAGCTGTCATTCACTATGAGGAGCGCAAGTTCGTCTGCTTCTTTTGGCGGGGGTTGTGGTGATGTCAGAACGCCGAGCTCTGATTGGCTCTGCTTGAAGGCTAGCGGGTAGAGTTTAAAGCAAGCTACCTTGAAGCCCTGCAAAAGACGCAGACAAACTTGGGCTCCCGATAGAAAACGCATTTGTACCACTTGTAGGCGGCGTGCAAGGTTTGATCGAGAAAGGTAAACCCGGCTATATAAACGCTTTGCAGCAGCTGTGCATGGACGCCGCCATAACTGACCTTCAGTTTTTGGTTCCTCTTATTTCGTTTATTTCACTTCATCTTTACCATAGCAGGCCGGGTTATTGCCACATTAGATTCAACTGTGTCCTTTTCTAAAGCATCGGCCTTTGTAGAGAATCGTCAACTACCGTTTCAGTTGCTCCGCATTTCAGTAAGACAAGAGAAGGTCAGCAATGGCGGCTGTAATTTGGCGCGTGTGTAAAGCGTCTATAGCCTGCATTAATAAACTACTTTGCCAGAATGTGACCAAAAAAAAAATTAGGCCAGAGTGAGGATGTTTGAGAGCATGAACTTACGTGGATCAAAAGTTACAAGAACGTAAGGACTATAGTTTCTACGCGCAGACGACGACTACGGAGAGAAGGGGAAGAATGGTGTCGTCTTTTAGTCGCATCGCCTAGATGGCACCACCACACCGTCAGTGTTAGAGACACTGGTTTTGGTTTTGGCAGCAAAACGGAATCGTTATTCAATATTTTCTGGTCTTTTACTTACACACTGCTTTTTATTTCACCGTAAATAAAAAAAATAAAACGCGAACTTTGATACTTCTGTGCATTTGCTCAGTTCTAGAACATTTTTCAAAATAATTATTCTAGCAGACGTCGTCTGCTTCGCTTGCTCTTCGGGAACCCGGACACCGGCCCTCCCGTGGTTCGCTTTTAGCTTCTGTCCTGTTTCGCTGGATTGTTGTGCTTCATGAGGCAACTCATTCAAAAGCAACATGCGGATGTCGTGCGAAGCACAAGAGTCCAGCGAAACACGACGGAATCTAAAAGCGATCAAAGGGAGGGAGGCCGGTGTCCGAGCTCCTGAAGAACAAGCAAAGCAAACGACACCTGCTAGAATAAATATTTTGATAAATGTTTTGTATTTGAGGAGATACAAGTATAAATGCCGACATTTTAATTTTTTTTTTTTTTTTTTTTTTTGTTTTCGTTAAAATGAAAAGCAGTGTGTACGTAAACCACCACGAAATATTTAACAACGATTCCGTTTTGACACCAAAAACAAAACCAGTGGCTCTGACACTGGCGGAGCGGTGACGCCATCTATGCGATGCGACGCAAGGCAGACGCGATTGTTTCACTTTTCTCCTGGGTCGTCGTATGCTCGTAGATACCAGCTCTTGTTTTCTCTTAACTTTAAACTTAATTCACGCTCTCAAATTTTCTCATTGTGGCTTAAATGTTTTGTGTCACATTCTGCCAACCTTTCAGATTTCTGCGAAGGGCAGTTTATTTGTGCAGGCTAAAAAGCCGGGGTTTCCTTTATCGATCGAACCCTGTAGATAGGTCTTTGTTTTATTAGGAATCAGGGGGCATCAACTTTACCACTGCCCGCAAAATGCAATCATTATGACTAAGTTCACTGTTTTCGGAGTTCATTTTTCTCGAAATTCGGAGGGTGTTTTTCGGAGATTATTTGTCTCTGAAAATTGGGGTTTTATTGAGATGCACAATTTTCTGAAATTAAAAGTTTATTTTACTGTTCTCCCAATTGTTATAATTAAAAAAAAAACGAATAAATGAGATCCGGGTACTATGACCCGTTCTCCCAAGTAACCTTGACAAGCTAAAAGGCGAACACCTTTTTTCAGTAGGTCGAGATTTCAAAGGAAACTGAAGTGGCATTATCCTAGGACACTGACGCTATGCTCGTATAAAGTTTATTTGTAAAACACTGTTCTTTCTTTTCTTTACTCTCTAATTTGTAGTTTTTCCGATGAATCCGAATCGTTAGAAAATTTACTGGTGAGTTTTTTTTCGAATATTTCAAGTTTTATCCGAAAACACGGACCTTTAACTATAACCCATGAAAAAGACCAGAGTGAATCCACACAGAGATGACGTACAGATTAAAAGAACAAGCGTGGACTGTGAGCGTGGCATTCACGTCATAAAAATTTGAGAGCAGATTTAGTTTATATTATCAACGTTATCGGTGACTCGACATTATCGCTGGGCTTCATATTTGACTGTACTAAAGCAGCGAATCGGGCGAGCTGGTAGATGTTTTACATAATGTAAGCAGCTCAAGCGACGAAAACGAATTAAAGAAACATGGACAACAGGACAAAGCTGTACTATCAACTAAAGTATTATTGATAAGACAACTATAGGACTAAATACAGCTTCGTTTTCTCGTTTTCTTTTTCCACTTTGCCTTTGTTGCTTTGAGTAGTTTTCATCACGTATTGCTAATGAAATCAGAATTATTGGCCTTTTTTGGGCACCCTGCACACTACATGGCACACGTAGCATTCTAGGACACTGTTGACCACGAATTGGAGTGGCATGGTTTTGAATTTGATAGCCATATTGTGGAAGCGGTTAAGATTATAGGTAAATGAAAGAGGGATTTCAAATTTTTTGCGTGTGCTTCACGGGCGTCTTGCAGACATACGAGACGCCCATGAAAGCATTCGCTCAACATGAGCGTATATTGTTTTGGATTTTGAACTAGCTTCAATGCCAGATCAGCGCCAGCCCAGTTCATATATAGTCTTTCTCTCGGTGCATGCCCAACTTTCACACGGGTCATTCGATACCAAAGGAGACGCGGCAAATGTTTCATGCCTGAGGTATGTACAAAAAAAATTAATTGAAATAAACAAACCTCTTAAATTTAACAAAAAAGGATTATGATTTTTTTTTTACATCATACACTAACTTTCTTGAATTTGCATGAAACCCGCGTAAATAGGAATAATATTCTGAAAAAAAAAATAACGGTTGGGTACCATACACATTTGGGTGGGCGCCTAATTACTTAATAGCATGCCCTATCTTACTGTAAAATAAAGCATTGAAAGACGCCATTTTGAGTCCAACCAGGAGCTACAAAAGGAAGACTTTAAAATATTTCTTTATTTGTTTTAGTCAACTTGAAGCTGGGTGTTATCTAGGGTACACTTTTCCTCTGTTCTCATAGAACAAATTATTGAATTTCACGTGGTAAATATTTAAAGCCTCACTTTGTTGCGTTTTAATTAAAGAACACACTCCAGTTTATGCAGAAACGGCCTTATTAAGAGCCTGAAAAAGCAACGTGGGCATTGGTGCCCGCAACTTTCGAATTAGCTAAAAGTTTAATCCACCTCTGCTCACAACATATTAAAAAAAAATGTCTTGTTGTTGCTGATAATTTTTTTTTTCTTTTTAACTAGACTTTCTGCGATCATGCTTCCAAGCGCCCACCTCGTTGGCGACGCACGCCGGAGTTCGCCAACGAGGCGTCAAGTATGTGCGACACCGCCGCTAGGACTTCCACTCCCTCCTGTAAACACTCTTTATTCAGTTGAAGCGGACACTATCCTGACATCCAGTCATCCGTATATGCTCTACCTTACGTAATAAAACTATACCTCGTTCCAGCTTAGGTCCGAGCGCGGCCAATTTTATGAGCCGAAGGGCCAATCAAACACCCAAAGAGCCACAACGTCATGGCGTGCTCTCCGCAGTTGATAGGACCAGCCGCTATTCGCCGTCTCTCTGTGCACTGCTCCTCCATCGGCTAGTCCTATGAAGCGCAGAGAGCACGCCATGACGTTGCGATTTTACGCTGTTTGATCGGCCCTTCTTCTTATAACATCGGCCGCGCTCGGGACTAAGGTGAAACGAAGTAAAGCGTCTTAAATACACTCAACTGCCCCATCAACTGCCGACGAGTGCAGGCCTTCATCGTCTGCTTCCCGAGTATTGGAATCCATACTGCGCGTCGGCCGCTTCCCCATTAAATTTAAATGTATTTTGACAAAACTAAGATAGATTGAAGTTCGTTCGCGCATCTGCCAAAGACGCGGTGCCGACATAGTGACGACATCATGCAAACGAGTGCGTCACTCTTATAAGCGTCATTGTGGGCTGGGCCTGTTGCAATTTTTTTTTTTTTTTTTGGTTCACGCAATATTAAAAGTGGGAGCAAACACGCGAAAACTGATTGATGAATGTCTAAGAAAATATTACCAATTCGCAAATTCTATAAATCGGCCAAACCTCTTATAATAGCTGGCGTCAATACTGGAATTGCAACATCAGCCATGAAACCATTATTTAAAAAGTTAATCAATAAATTATTTAATATACCGACTTACCCTGACCGTTATTACCTCATCTAGTGTCCGGCGAGCCTAAAGCTCAGATAGGGAAGACGGCACCCGTGTAACTCTCACTTTTTATCAAACTTACTTTCTCTTAAAAAGTCAGTGGGTTAAGAATTCAAGACATGTTTTCGTGTCCTCCAGTGTATCCTAGAGTCTGAAACACTACTCATGTACGTGATCTCATGGGTGCGAGGCGTCCGTTGCAAAAAGGAGAATTCTGTTTTCATGAGAACACCGTTTTTCTTAGCGCTATATGTTCTATCAAAATATATTTAAGTTAAATAGTTAAGCGACATCGCCGTCACCATTTCGCTTTGGGGAAGAGCTATCCGGTCTGAATTGTTTTTTCTTTATATCTGGACATACAACAGACGAGGCAGATGCGCAGTATGCATTCCAAACTCTGAAGCAGACGATGCAGGCCTGCGTCCGTCGGCAGTTTCCTCGGAAGAAGTAGAGTCCATTTAAGACGCCAGTATTATTACGTAACTTACAGAGGATACGGGCGCATGGAAATCAGTATAACCTCCACTTTAACTGAATGAAGCGTGTTTTCAGGACAGCGTCGAAGACCTTGCGGCGGAGTCTCACGCCGTTGACGCTTCACTGGCGAACTCCAGCCTGGAGGCATGTTCGGGGAGGCTCATCTTTAAAAAATAACTTCTCAGCAACAAGAAAAAAAAGTTTTTTTTTAAATTTTTGTATATCTTGGAGAGATGAGGTTGATTGAACATTTGGCAATTTAGAAATTTGTGGGCAGCGATACCCACATTCATTTGTCTGGCTCTCAATAATGCCGGTTCTCCATATTATTCTATCAATAACCGGCTCTCAATAAGGCAGGTTCTCTTAATAAGACCGGTTCTCATTGTAAATAAAATTTCTCTCTTTTCTCTCTCTCTCTCTCTCTCCATAAACTGGATAATTTGTTATTTAATTAAACACAACCAAACGAGGTTTTAAATGTTTAAAGCGTGAAATTTAATCATTAGTTCTATGAGAACAAAAAAAAAAGGTATGGTTACTAACACCCAAATCCAAGTTGTCTCTTGTTTTTGGAGCTCCTGTTTGGACTCATAATGGCGTCTTTCCATGTTTGTATTTTACTGTAAGATGGGGCATGTTATTAAGTAATTAGGCAACCACCTGAACGTGTGGGGTACCCAACCGTTTTTCGCAATGTTTTTCTTAACTACACGGGTTTTATACAAATTCCAAAAATTTCGAGCGTGATAGAAAAAATAAATTAAATATAAAAAGAAGTTTCTTAAATTTCGGAGGATTCTTCATCCAAATTAAATTTTTCGCACAAATCCCAGACATAAAGAAATCGCTGCGTCTCCTTTCGCATGGAATGACACACACCAGAGCGCTTGGAATCGCTTCCTGAAATCTATCGATCTCGACATCTCTTGTCGACGACCGCGTTCACCAGAACGTACAAGAAGAAACCAAACGTGCATAAAAACACAACCTAAAAATAAAACAAAAAGACACTAACGAGCGCTTCGCCGAGCGTTCGTAAATACACAATTGTTATATGTTTGTCCACCACACCCTGTGAGTTTACCGGGGAGATTTTAGTGCCGCCGTTGAGACACGACCGTTGAGACACGAACCTCCAACGGCCGTAATGGCCTACCTAGGCTTAGCGAGGAGTACGGAAACGCTGCTTCCCGCTCCCGCACAGTCTCGGTCGCAGCCGATATGAGCGTTTGCTAAAACGCCACTCCCAATCAATAAAAACGTTCGAAGAGAACTATTGGCTGACATCAGAAATCCAGGGCCGTTCATTTCGCGCAGCAGTAAGTGCGAGTTCTTTGCTGTTCGTTGGTTTTCCTGTGCCAGCGACCGGCATGGCGCACTCATTGCCCTCGCAGCCGTGCCGGTCGCTGGCGTATGCCAATCAGTGAAACGCAATACTAATTGCCCTTGCTGGTGCACAAAAGGAGTGGCAAAGTCTTCGTCATGTCAAAAAATATCTTCCTTCCGAAGTATATAGTGATTACGATCGAAGCTCTTCCAAGCGCTGAGATAGGCTGCGATGAAGACCGTGGTCTCCTATACTACATGCAAAGCTCTGGCAAACCGAACGATTTGTTATCTTGTTTGGGAGGGGGCGAAAAGAAGCGGACCTCTGGCTAAGGAAAAACTTTGTGACGCTCAAATCGACCTCATTTTATTAGGGTGCACCAGTTGTTTAATTGAGCGCAAAGCTAGAACCTGTAGCAGGCCTGTGATATCGTCGCCCTATGTTTACCTCACGACCAGCTGTTTACATACGCACCGACTAAATCATGCCAAATGCCCCTTTGAAAAAACCCAGCATTCCATTCATATCGGTCGGAAACACCGAAACTATTATAAATTTAAGGAGAGTAGCATATTCGAAGACGGAGAGATTGTATCTGGTTATAACATCATGTTATGAAGTGCGGTCGGCCTATCGAAACTGAAACTTCATGGTTAACCATTACCCGAGATGCTTTGTGTGGCATCTCGCCGCTAGGTTTCTAAATAAAAGTCGTTTGTAATCGAAACGCTCCGAATAACACTCGGTGAATTCCATATTTAGACAACTTTTCATAACATAGTATTGCTTTGAACGTTATAAAACACATATAGGTAATTGTTAAATAAATTGACAAGGTTCGTGTTTTTAACTAAACCTGGTAGATTAGTAGTATTACATCTCTGCGGAATCCGTATTGCTATGTTTTGTTTTATTTGTGATTGAAAAGAAACGGCCATCTGCGTTCCAGGCCAGAATGGTTATTATCACTTGGAATCAACCGCACAAGTATTTCTACTTACCTCCTTGCTCAAGTGGAGCTCTAATGGTTCCCCCGTTTATTACTGCCGCGTTTACTTCGGACCAGTATTCGGGTGAAGACGTGTTCATATCCGCGTAGTAGGCGAAGTACGCATCTGCCATCATATTTCCGAGGTTGCACTCCCGGATTCGGCATATATTATCCTGTTGCTCGAGCAACACCTTGGTGTAACCAACTGGTTGCTGCATTACTTTAGTGACGTTTTCCTTGAACGGTGCAATTACTTTAATCATATCGGGATCTGAAAACCATTGAAAATATGAATGTAGCGAGCATCCGTAACAACGTCTAGCTTTATTTATTTTATTTTTTTAAGAAATAGCCACCATAGTTTCTTGCAGTTCGGTATCGGAATAAAGATACGTGCATACAAGTACCTATATGCATTTTTCTCGTTTCACTTTCTACTTTTTACACGAAATCACATGAATCAGGGCAGAGAATAAAAACCAAGTAGATCTAACTTATAATTTAGGTCATAATTGAAATCGTAATTCAGGTCCGACACGTTTAACTAATATATTTTAATTAAAACCTTTCCGAAAAAATGATTCCAAGAATAGCTTTTAACTACCGTGTGTCTATCATTTGATGATTTTTATGCGCATTTGTTTTGCGTTTAAATCGAAGTGTCTCCAAGCAAGAAATATCTGTATCAGGCTGGACGCGTGTAAAAGGCATGTTCTTCGCAGCTCGGATAATTTTTGTTTCTAGCTTCAACTTCGTTCGACATTTGAAAAACGTCCAATAACAAGTAAATCAAAACTTGAAAGAAAAACAAATGAAAGTTAATGTCTCATAATAACCAAATCAGAACGCAAAAAAAAGTCTTTTTAGCTTACTGGAGACAAAAAGATCAAGGAGTTTTTTTTATCAAGTTTGACTGGGTTTACATCAATAACAAGCTCATAATTATACTACTTGAAATTTACAACTATATTTTCTAAAGTGAGTGATTGGACGGGTGGATCGATCAATCTACCATGTTTAAAATTTAGTCTGTGATGAAGAACCACTACCTTTTAGCTATAGTCATTTAAAGCAGATTAATATGATAATATAATTTAAATCGAATAAATCTGATTCAAATAAAACGAAATTTATTTATTTTCTTGGCAAAAAACTACTTTTGCTGATATATATAGATATATTGTTCAAGCTCGTAGCATTCTCGTCAGCTAGAGCGCTTCTTGTGAATATGACAGGATTTGTGTTTGATTAGAATTAGTAGGGGCAAAGGATACCTTCTTAGGAAAGGTTACTCTGAACACAGAAAAAAACGTGTTTTTTTTCCTGGCAGTAATTTTTTTTTAACTTTCACTTGAAAATGTATGTACTTTATACTAAATTTTTAAGCACTGTTAACATATGTTGATATTTTTAATTTATTTGAGGGAATAGAAACAAGAATATGGCGATTGCGTCAGAACTAAGAGGGCATTAGAAACGTTGAAAACACTGTCTGTCATTCTCACTTAAATTTTTCCAGTAACTTTAATATTATAAATTTATTCGACCCTACAGTGTCTTTTCAACAAATCAGAAGCATGGCTATGTGTCTATACCTGAGAAATTTTACTCGACTTACCTTCCGGTACTGATGAATTTAGAAGAATAGGGTTTCCGGTACCATTAATAACCTTTCCAGTCTCGTCAAACTTTACCTGTAAAAATCCGAGGTATTTTCCATAGCAGTAGCCTTGAACTACGAGCCCTGTAGAACCGTCGTTTTTATTCACAATTGTTGGATAGTCACCCTCAGGAGTATTTTCTTTGGGATAACCAGTGCCTGGAAATAAATATATAAAAGTAAGAATGCTTGGGCACACTCTTAGAATATAGGAGCCGATCGTGCAAATTACCGTGATAAAGAAAAGTATTCGTGTGTCCGCCAACAATAACGTCGAGACCATCTACTTCTTTCATTATTTTCAGGTCTCGTAGATATCCACAGTGAGTAATTCCCACGATGATGTCCACGCCTTGATTCTTGAGATTTTTTATTTCTGCTTGAAAGCTCGTAATTTCGTCGTAAAATTCGACATTACCTGTGGTGTAACAAATGAATAAAACAATTATTAGGATATAAAACGATCACGTCTTGTGCGATAAAGTATAGTGATTACATGACAATAGATGGTATATGGTGATCCTCAATATTCACATGCCACTATAGGAACTGATGAGTTCAGCTGTCTAAGCTTAGAAGTATTTATACAATATGTAACGGAAGGAAAGATGCCATGTTAGTTTGAAGCATTATACAATTTCGTCTGTGCAAGATATGCTAGATTTTTATAAAGTTACGCCCCATTGTATCTCACCTTTGTACAGACGTGAGAAATTCGGGGCCAAATGAACGGTAGTGGCTGGAGCGCTAGTGTCCTAGTTATGAGGTCGAGTTCAGGCCTGTTCGTACATGACCGTTTTTGCCAATATTCAATAGCAAGTTAACATGCCAAAATGTGACCTTCCTCTCGGATGCCATTGTAGCTTGCAGGTATATGTCGATATGAGTCCCGGCAATGCAATTAAATGCTGCTATATGAGCGAAACTTTAGGCTTATCTTGGCGCTACATTTGACAACAATCTCAATCGAATCAAATGTGGCGTTTAAAATATCAGGTCAATAAACGAAAGCTACTTGAAAATATTTTTTTAGAGCATTGCGATTAGACGTCTTACTGATAAGAAAACGTTGAACACGTATTATTTTTGGGTCATATGAGCTATGTATACGAACAATCGCATTATATAAGGGAGACATTAAAAGAGAAAACATCTGCGAATAGACCCTGCGTATAATGTTTCAAATTCCCACGTCAATCTCGGTGTTAAATCGCGGTTTAGTGCATTAGAGAGTGCACCTTTCTCGCCTCGTCATTCAGCGATACTTGTTTGTGTATATAGCTTTTGAACTCATCCAGTGATAGGTGCAAACACAAAATTGGAGACTACTTTCTGTGGCAACAAATTCACAGCTATTCTTAGGATATCCAGCATATGTGTTATTCCACAAGTGGTTTCTAAAAAAAACGTTTTGCTTCTGGTTTTGTTTTCGGTAAGAAGTACCTGCCCACGCTCTAACCTACAACTTGTTTATTAAACTAGGTAGGCCTTCATCGAGAATGCTTCCCGGTGATGAGTTACTGTCGCAAATGCTAACAGGATAGAAAACCAGAATCGAGTAGAATATATCATCATAACTGCGAGATAAGTGACGTTTCAACTGATACAAAACCCAAACCTATATTAGACGCAAAACTTTAAGCAGTATGCCAAAGAGGACCGATAATATGTGTACATGGTAATTGTATGCTTGTGTATTGAGTGGACGGCTATATTTTTATTATGAATGATTGAGTTTTGTGAGCGTTTCAAAGTTACTCATTGAAAAGCGGAATGCGTTCTGGGACACGTTTCACGCTCGTGACATCATACCCTATTGGAAATTCTTATTTGTATGAGAAATTTTTGTGTCCCATAAACACATATGAAACATACAGGATATATAAATAAGAACATATAAGAACCATATAAGAACCATATAAGAACTCTATAAGAAGTATATAAGGTATATAAGAACATAGAAGCACCATATAAGAAACTTGGGAGAAGTTTCTTATTTATTTCTTATGTGGTTCTTATACGTCTTATATAGTTCTCCAATAATTCTTATATAGTTCTTATATGGTTCTTATATGTTCTTATATATCTTGCATGGATTCTTATGTGTTTATTGGACACGAGAAATTTCTCATACAAATGACGTTTTCACCAGGGTAGGCTTTAGGAAGAACAAAGGCACGGTCAGTTAAGAGGCTTGTCACATGGTAGAGTTAACGTGTTAACATCTAGCTTAGACAAAGTACACACGAACTGAACCGCACGATCGTGCCGTTCAATGGAACCCATCGTCCGGTTTGCCTCGTCGTCACCACCACGTTGGCGGAGTGCACATCCTGCACGATACCTGCGGCTATGTGCAGAACACCACATATACACAAATATTACGACCACAATGACGACCTCAGTGAACGACACCTGCGCCAGTCCATTTGCAGCGAGATCCCAGACGAGCGATTTGTGTATTTGGGCAAACCGTGCTGATTGGTGAGTTTAAGTACGCCAACGCCTTTGCACACATTTTATAGTAGACGCCTGAAGGGGTAATGAACCTTCAACTGATGTGTTTACATTATTTACAAAAGCACATGCATCCGGCTCGTGTCTCGCTGACCGTACCGGTCACACGAACCGTTCAAGTTTTATTCTCTTTTGGCTCTCTAAAGACTAGTACATGTTCCACCCCCCCCCCCCTTCTCCCTTGGAGAGGAACTGTTAGGGACGAGGGTGTCTCTTGGCTTAGTGGTAAAATAATTTTTGGAGGGTTCTTTTAAGTCATCAGGAATCATACGCGGGTTTGATGCGGCCGAGGGATATAATTTTCTTCCGGCCATTGATCGAGAGAGTGACATGTTTGTCATTACGCTCGAAAACTTCGTAGCGCCCGTCATAGGGGCAGTGTAGCGGATGTCTGACTGTGCCGTTTCTTAGTAAAACTTGTCTACAACGGTGAATATCTGAGCTTACTAGGACGTTGCGGGACTGAATTATTCTGTGCAACGTTTAGGTTTTGGAGGAAGGATTTTAATCGCCTGGCGTAGTTTTCGTAGTCGATGAGGCGGTGTTCTTCATTTATGTGAAAAAATTCTTCAAGCAGCCGAAGTGTAGTGCCGTTTGTTCGGCGGAACTGCACTTGATCTCGTGTGGTACTGCTGTTCGGATCCCCAAAAGCACAACTGGCAGGATTTCGGCCCACAGCCTTGATGTGTCACGTGCCCAAATTGCAGCCTACATTTTTCTGTGGAATCTTTCCACGAGGCCCTTAAATCAAGGGTGGTGTGCTGTGGGCTTCATGTGTTTCGTATTAAGGAAAGACGACAACATGCGAAAGAGGGGACTTTCGAATTGTCTCACTCTATCTGTATTTACTGTTGCCGGTATTCTAAACCGGCTGATCCACACACTCTAAGAAAAAAGTTGGCCTCAAGGGACTAACGGCAGCATTTGGTCCTCTGAACTCCCAGTTGCTCCCCGAAAGGACCATCTGGCTCAAGCTAGGTACCGTGCGCAAAAGCTGGGGACTAACTGCGCTCGACTGGGACCAACCGATAGGCGTGCGCGAGCAAAAGCATCCATTAGTCCCCCTCAGACAGGGTGCATCTGTATGATTTAGTCCCCGAAGGCAAACGGAATGTTCGCGAGGAGGACGGATGCTATTTCGCTTGTCTTGGGGATCGGCGAGACTCAGCCCAGCACGGCTGAAAGTGTTGACAAAACTCGGACGAGACCGGCGAATTTGTTTAATGTGCCACGAAAGTTAAGACATTACATGGTAGAGCTTCACGTGTTGTGTGAATGCGAGTGAACGAATGTGTTGACTCGACTTCACCCAACTATCTCGTCAAAAAGAATCTGTTGACATTCCACAAGTCCCATTTACGTAATTTGCCTTCGCGCAAAAAATGTGCATTTATCCAAACGCAACACCTCCAAATACTAACACTCTTTTCCTTTTAAAATTAAACTTAACAGTTTGTAAAAGCCACGCTTTTAACACCGGAATCTTGCAGTCACAATAAATGGTCACTTCAATCGCTAAAACTGAGCATTCCCACCGGCGATATAAGCAGTAGCGCGATGCGACTAGATCGCATCGCAAAAAAAAATTAGATGGTCACACCGGCGTGTGCGATGAGCGAGTCCAACGCCTTCGTTGGCGAGTCGTTTCTCGAAAACTCTCGCTCCGAACGCCGTTGATTGGCTCAGCCGCTCCGCGACTAGATCGCATCGCAAAAAAGTCGGGTCTAGAAGCGACTGCTCAAATCGCGTCGCTTGTTGCCCGCGATGGTCGCTTTTGCGATGAAAGTTATCGCGCGACTAGATCGCAAAGCCGGTGGGAACGCGCCTCCGTCTCTGCGTGACAAACCTTTCTGGGTAGTCCAATGTCGAACTCAAAATCCACAACGACACACTTGATGCACGGCACGTTCCACTTAAAGCGCACATTCAGGGGCAGTATCCAGACGCCTTCATGCCATCGTCGTCGCTGTTTCCAAAACAATCCAGATGAACAACGAAGAACGAATCACGCCCGGAACGTCACACCTGGCAGCACCCTACTAGTACAAAACAAATGCAAACTAAAAAAAAAAAGCCACTTGAGAAAGCTGAAAATTCTTAAGAGAGAGAGAGAGAGAAAAGAAAGAAAAAAAAAGGGTTTGCTTGTACGTCACTCGACCGGCGTGTTGAAAGTGGCGACCTTCTCCCGGCCTTGGAGCTCTTCGGTGTCCTTGTGTCGTGAGTAGTGGGAGCGGGAAAAGAGATTATCTTCTGCGCGCACTGCCCCCTCCCCCCAATCCCCTACCCCGCATTCTTTGCTCCTTGTACACGGGGGGGGGGGGGGGGGGGGGGGGGGGGTTGGGCAGATGGGGTCCGTCGGGAAAATGGGAAGTGTCTTTGTTTGAAAAGAACCTGTTTTTAGTAAGTTGAAAGTCGAAATACAGCCTTCGTCGGAGGCTGGTCGCCTTGTGTCGTCTCCGTTCATGGCGGGATCCGGTTTGGATTCGCGGTACTGAAGCACTGCACTTGATCTGTTCTGAAGTCACAAGTCAATGGAACTCGATTAAGGTATGTCGAAGTACTTCTGTTTATGGTGTGATTATTAACTGCGGCTTTAGAAAGTGTTTTATTTTGAGCGCGTTCTCTAGCTTGCAAAGCGCGCGTCGTGCTTTATTCTTTTTGGCACCGTGGTTGCTGATTTTTTTATGCAGCACAGAGACCTCATATTCAATCGTATCGAGCGAAACGCCAGTTCTACCTATGACTTATTCTTTTTTTGTGTGTGTATGTTTCGCAGACGCACAAATGGTCAAGCAGGATCGCTTGACCATAAACGCCTGTCCACACATGCAGCGGAGCGCTACAGGCATAGCGCTGACCTTGCGCTAACCGCGTGCTGATGGGATCGGTCACCAGCTGTGTATCGCACCGACAAAACTCTTGCTCATGGCAGACGAAAAGTAGCTCATGACACGTGAGCAGCGCTATATCAGCGCTTCGCTGCGTGTGAGAGCCGGCATTAATGGAGATATTTATTTGATTGTACACTAGACTTTCGCGTTGATGGCGGGAGATCGTGCCGTCACTTTGAAGCATAGTTCGAGCACGCACGCGCCGGGTCTGTAATTCGCAGCGAACGGTCTACTAAAATCTAATATTGCGCTGGTCTGCTGTCAACAGATCGCATGTTGGATGTGAACCATTGTATCACTTATGCAGTCTATTTGTTAATTTATTATGCATGTGTTATAACTTATATATCATATATTTGTCAAGCGATTGGGTATTTACGCTGCCCTGTTACTAATAACCCAAATTCCTCGCAAACAGGCTAGAAGCTGCCGGTGCCCCAATAAACGGTGCTGGGACCACGACCGGCTTGGACAGACGTCCCAGTGTCCAAGCCATCGTCGACGCAAGTGCACTCTTCGGAATTTGGCATTATCGTGGATTCTACCGCCCAGGAACTTCGACTTCAGTCATCCTTGAATGCGATGTGTATCTACGAGGCAATAAAGCTACGTTTAACCTGAACTCCACAATTTCATTTCGGAGATTTGTGGCTCGGGACCAAATGTAAAGGATAAACCTTTAGTCCCAGAGGTCTAAATCCAAGGGCGCAACGTTTAGACCCAGAGGTCCAAGTGCAAGGGCCTAACAGTTGGTCCTTGGGTTCATTTGAAACGGTGTAACAGTTAGTCCCAGGGGTCCAAGTGCAAGGGCCTAACAGTTCGTCCTCGGGGTTCAATTTAAACGGTGTAACAGTTGGTCCCAGGGGACCAAGTGCAAGGGCCTAACAGTTAGTCCTCGAGGTGCATTTGAAACGGTGTAACAGTTCGTCCCAACGGTGCTAGTGCGAGGGACTAACTGACGGGGCGCAACAGTTGCTCCCGTTACAGTTGCTCCCCTAGGGGACTAATGGTGGTGGCAGCGCATTTGGTCCCCCGAGGGACTAAGTGGCGCTCCCTTTTTTCTTAGAGTGCATGGTGCGCAGCCGTTTCCTCTGTCATTTCTTTCATGGTCATAGCCTTGGCCCTGGCTGCAGAGACCCCATACTCGCCAACCCCGCCAAACCTAGCTGCGAACACCCTACACCCGTAACCCACATCAGTGCCGCTTGCTGGTGACTCCCACGAAAGTCCGTAGCCTAACAAGCTGGGCGGTACCGCTACGTCTTTAGAATACCAGGGTCACAAGCAACAGTGGCAAAAGCCTATCACGCCTGGATCACCCATTTGAAGGGGTCATTAACATTCAACTTACCTATTGACATTATTTGCACCAAGCTAACAGGATGGGGCTTGCGGCCGTGTTCGGAGCTGAGCTCGTGGTGTTTCAATGTCCTTTCTGTTCACATTTAGCTGAGCTTGCCTGTTGCGCGAGTCTTTTACTTTCTTTTCTCTTGGCCCACCAGGGGCCGCTTCAAGTCCTTACTGCAAACATTACTGTCCCGCAAGCGTTTACTTTTAAAGTGGGACAGCGGACGAGCGAGGAGAACCGCTTCAGCAGTTCCTCGTTATTTTGCATACCGGCGAAATGCACCACACTTCGTCTCGCCATAAACACGCCGAATGTTCCTGAACATTTGATGCTTAAACAAAGCAAACTAAATGTTTGAAGGAGACGGCTAACCGGCCGTCAGCTTTCGTAAATATGGTAGCGACAACTCGGCCAAATATGCCGGCGCGACCCAGCGTGGCATACTCGACGTTGGCATTTTTCGCCAATCGCTCGTGCTCCCGAAGAGGTCTGACTCGCATATACTATTACGCCCAACTCCTGCGGCTCAGCGCTGCATTTGTGAAACTAGTGAGGTCAGAATACTGAAAAGAAGGTTAAGACGCATCCACTACATTAAATCTGTGGATCATTTAATTTATTTTAAAATCTTTTCGTGAGCTTTATTACAACAAAAAAGGGTGTTTCTGAGGCTATGGAGCTCGGTATTCTATACAAAAATAAAAAAAGTGCTAAAATTTTGTTTTTTTACCACTTCAAAATCACCAAAAGACAAGTTGGTGCAGTGATCGTCATGCGATTTAAATAACGAGTAGCGTCAATACTAAAACGAAGCTGGCCGACATAACAGAAAAATACACACGCCAGGTATCAGTCTTAGGTTTTTTGTATACTTATGATGATATAGCTGAAATTACATAAATTATGTAACATTCAGTTTCGAAAGTTTTACAAAATCTGGGTGGTGGTTAGTGGAAATATATTGCGTTCTCTTCGATTGCCATAGATGGATCATGAATGTGGTTGGTTTATTCATGACTATTGACAGTCGTAAGAGAACTTTCGAAGTACCGGCAAGATGGTTCATTTGTGCTTTTCTATCTTATGTTTTTCTATCGCCAAATTTATGCCAACCTGTATGGAGATTTTATCAATCAAGTCGAGGTAATCTACCTGATCGTGCGTATTCGGAACAGTCGCCCGCAATGCGCCGTCTTTAGAGAGCTGACATGATTTTTTCATTTGTTTCCTTGTTTGTGGGCCTTGCTAAGCAGCTTGTTCTTTCGGTATATTCTCACAACTCGACTTTTTGAACAAAAACCTACGAGGTAAATTGCATACGATATTCACAAAAAAAATAGAACACCTGAGCAAAATTGAAAAAAATAGTGTTTATTACCGTATTAGATTCAGTACTCTATAGACCGACACGCTGTTTACAAACGAGCCCACGTTTGCCTACACCAAGTGGGCGCGTGGGCAGAAACCGGATTCGCGTGAAGTGAAGCGTCTGCGCATGCCCCGTGCCGTCGACAGCGCCACCGCAGCTACGTGACGTCGGGGCCGCGTGTTGGTCTATAGGAGCTTCTAGCATAAAGTGTTAGAAGTAGTTTAGAGTCATAAATAAGAAGCTACAATTTATTTCCTTTAATTTTCTTATGCTACATAGTCATATCACTCATTTGAGCTCGGTTGCACAAAATTTAATAACACAAAAGAATATCACAGAGGATAGAGGACCGGAATATTTTAAAGCTTTAAAGATAAAACGTCCCAAAATAACGCGACCTTATCGAAAGGTGGTGCCCTTATAACATTCAGGTATTCACTGCAGAGTAATTTTAATTAACTTCCTACCTGGATTTGAAAGTTCTTTTGTTTGGGGAAGTACAGCCCCAACGATTCCAATTGTTCTTCCGTTCACAGTTACTGTAACACTTTTCTTGATCGGCTTATCCTTAAGAGCCGGTTCTTTGTTGAAATCAGTATTGGTGCCGACAACACTTATATTCGCAGCGTTCATTCTGTCTAGAAAGGGGGCCAGTCCTTCGGGTCCATCGTCGAACTCGTGATTTCCTAGACACTGAAAATAGTTGTATTTTCTATATAATAAAAACTATAGTTTTTTATGATCATTAGAATATTCCTGAAAAATGTGTTAAACGATTACATCTAGCACCTAGTTCTTGTCCATAATGACTGAAGTGAAACGCGAGGCGTGACTACAAAGTAACAATACTCATCTATAAAGCAATAGTAAAAAAATACGCAATTGGAATGTTTTTTTTTCTTTTTATATACTCCCCTTTCAGGTCCCTAGAAAGCTCCATGCGAATGCTCCTTTTCTGAAATCGGTGATGTAGGTCATCAAGTGATAAGCCCTTCATGAGCTACGTCCCTTTTGTCTCCACAGCGTCAAGAGAATCAAATCGTGTTCCTTTTAACCAATACTTGATCTTGGAGAATAGGAATATATCATTAAGGTTAGGTCAAGTGAGTACAGCGAATGCTCCAACACGGTGATGCTATGCTGAGCCAGGAACGACATGAATTACAAGGATTTGCCTGCTGGGGCGTTAACTTGATGAAGGATTCATCAATTGTTCCTCCACATTTCAGGCCATGTCGTTCTCTGCGCAGCATAGCATCAAAGTGTTGGATCATGAGCTGTACTCATCATACCAGGCCCTATCTGACCTTTCCCTATTCCCCAAGCTCAAGTCTGGGTTAAAAGTAACGATTTTTGACTTTGTTGCCACTGTCAAGACAAATCTGACGGAGCACAGGAACTGATTCACTTGATGACCAACTACACTGGCTTCAGCAAGGAAGGTTTGCATGGAACGGGGGTAGCAACAGGGGAGGGTGAAACACAAAATACACTGCAGTTGTGTAATCATTTTGTAATGCTTCTAAAGATGAGTCTCGCTATTTAATTGCCACACCTCGTACTTGACTTTCACGACGAGCTTATATGCTCTAGAACAAGAAACACGATACAGGAAAAAAATGGACGAAAAAGGGCACAGCTATTGATATTACTTCGCATCATTATATTTTTTTCTAACGCCCGCCCTCCCCAAAGGTTACCAAACTTTCTCGCAAAAAGATAACAGCGGATACAAGGAACATACATCCAACAGATTCTGCGTGACCACAGAGCGCAATTTAACAACCTTACACAATAGACCAGGGGTGGCCAAGCTGCGGCTCGCCAGCCGCATGCCGCTCTTCGCGTATTAAAGTGCGGCTCACGGCTCCCTCCCCAACAACCCCCCCCCCCCCCCGCCAAAAAAAAAAAAAAAGAAGAGAGAAATGGAACGCGTTTTAAATCGAAAGACAGGTTGCGGTTTGGTAGTCTTGTCTTACTGCTACCTTACGTACAGTTGGACTGCTTTTGACTCGGATAGATTGAAAGTAGTTTCAAGCTTCGTTTATTGCTCTGGAGAAAAGTTTGCCCCCCCCCCCCCCCCCCCCCACAGCTCTTAGGCCGGGCCAGCCTGGCCACTCCTGCAATAGATAGACCCTTTCCCCCCTTTCCGGAATTCAGTGCCATCTGGTGACTCAAATGGCAGCTTAACTTTTACCGTACTAATCGTGGCAATGAACCTGAGGTCTGCAGTGTGTGATGGGGCACCGCCACTTTGGCAAGTCAATGTTCAATGATGATCTGCGCTTCACTGTAGTTCTTCAATTTCTTTCAGTTTCGATGGCAAAAAAAGATGTAGCGCACTGTGCTGTCTGTTTCTCGCCTTTTTGTCCCTGTTTTTGAGCGCTAAAATGTATTCCAAATTCCAAAACCAACTAGCCCAACAATCTACTCGACTGAAAAAGGTGCAACCAGTCAGAATGAAGCGTCAACCCACAAAGACGCCTTGATAAAGCTCTATACATCAATGGGCTTTGAAGCCTAGTGTGTGCTACGAACAGATCGACTGGACCCGAATTAGAAAATGACGCTTACATTGAACGCTTTTGCATTCAATTCCTGCGTCAAGTCGCACTAAAGTCTAAAATGTATAGGCCTGGGATAATCTGCTTAGGATCATCTTCAACTTCTTCCTTCATCAGTAAACGGAAGGTCGCCATTAGTATAGCACATATGCCATTTTTCAGATGGTGATAGCGACCAAAGTGGCCAGACTGAGTTTGAAAAGGGTCTATGCCAGGTCATGGAAAAACCTGCGACCATTAAATTTGTAAAACGTTGAAAAGCAGGGTCAAAGCCTAAACTAGAATAAACAAGTAAAAATATACAATAGCAACGAATAAGCAAGTTGATTAGTCCACTTGCATTGACAGCAGATGTTCTGTAAAGACCGAGCCAGACATGTGTTTACTTGAATATTGTTTTGTTCTCTGTCTACACTTTTTTCGGGTACTTCTTTCCTGTGCTCTTGGTTGGTTTTGTATGGTTATATATTATAGTTGGCTGTAGCCTAAGAACTGCAACAGAAGATCCACCCGAAAACCAACGCTCAACAAAAATTTGGACGAATGCGGAGCAACGTTTGTTTTCGCCAATCTTGAAAAGAAGGCGCTGACATTGAACTCTTTACTTCAGTGATGTAACAAGAGTGATGATTTTTGTACTGGGTGTTGTGTTGCTGTCATGTCTCTGGTAACTTATAGGGTAGAGTTGCTTTATCTGTAGTTACATTGCATCAGAGTGATGAGCTCAGAAAATCTAGCTTAACGTTTCTGTCTTTGTGTTCAGACCTACATAGTCCCGTCAATTTGTCATTTATTTACATAGCAAAAAGGGCCCTACAATACATACGCGTAAAAGGGAAGCGGCAGAAAATTGTGAGGCACTATTTATAGCAGGTATATGATGTCTTCAATGACATGTAAAAGTCGTACCATGCGCAATTTAGAAACTTTTCACGATGAGCAACATGGCTGACATCCCGCTTTGCTCGTAAGTTTGACGGTATGGCCGTTCGCAGCGTCTATACTCCATTTCACACCAAGTCTGAGTTCCGCCGACGCTACGATGCGATCGAGTCGGTCCAGGAGCGACAAAAATGCTTCGTCACGGCGCTCACTGTTTTTGTGCGTTTGCTACAAGAAGCTAAACCGGACACACACGTGCAATGAGCCGTGATCCTGTGTTTCTTCTTAAATTGATTGGTTTAGTCGGTCATAGGAAGCGCCATAGCCTCCTCTACTCCCAAAGCCTCGCAGTTCGACGACGGAGCCTTAGACTGCACTGTCGCAGATTTGGAGTGCGAGTATCTGGTAGCACAGAGCATCAAAGAGCCATTTCTCGGGGAACCTGAACGTCAGCTGACAGCTTTTGCAGCCCTGAGTACCCGAAACACACTTGTTTGCTCGGGAGAAGTGTGTTTCGGCGTCTCGCAGCAGCGGGGCGCCAGTCACGTGGCTCTACTCTCATCCGTTGTCTGCCGCTCCACCTTTTCCGTTTCGGCTGCCGCTTCTCGTGGCGATCTGCCAGGCTTTGTCAGTACATAGGAGGCTAAGGAAGTGCACAAGAACGACCAACGCGGTAAAAATGTAAGCTTTTTCGTTGCTTCGTTGGCTTCATTGGAGGGGGCGTCGGCTGCATTCGGACATATTGTGAAACGTAGGAGCACTCATTTGGGGGGTCCTGATAAAACCAACTTATACACGTGTTTAAATATTAGTTATGATATTAATTCTAGTTGTCTTTTGGCCAAAATAAATATATAATCAAATGACTGAAAGAAAGTTTAAAATTAAAATCAATATTTTATGCGAGGCACAAAAATTATAATTGCAAAAAGCTCGAGGGTTTTTTTTTTTTTTTTTGTCTGTGTTTAGCTAAGTTTTGCTGTAATAGAAATGAACTTATATCGTGGGTAAAAAAAGGTACTTGTAAAGAGCTCAAGTTCTGTTTTTATCATATTTAGATGAGGACTGTTATAATAGAAACAAATATATGCATTATTTATTAGAACAGCTCACAAATTTTCAATCGTCACCCACGGCAGCATTTGAAGATTAGTTTTAGCACTTAACAAATATACAAAAGAATGTGAAGCAGTTACTGTTTCCAAATATCTTCATGCTGTAATAGGGATTTTTTCTTAGAAATTGGTGTTTGTATCCCCACACGATCCAGTCTCATATTGACCAGGAGGTAAACTGCTATATATTTTCCTATGTGTCCCAAATATTTCCGCGTTAAAAACAAAGTTCTCGAGAAGCAACGGCGGGTAAAAAAGGAAGTACGGTTCACAGAACATAACAACCCTCCGCGGACCCTTTGGGGTCCGCGAAGGCATTCTGGGGGTCCACGAAGCCCAACCTCATCAGTAGACCCCTTCAATAAAAGTTGTCTTTGCTTAGATTGAGAAGAAACGTTCCGAATTTGGTCTGAGTTTTTTCGTGTATATGTCAATAAGAGAAATCTACTTCACACTAGCACATAGGTAAATCTATTTATTAAATAACTCTCATAATTGACCTATACCTTCCCTTCTCCATGCCAAGGACGGGGTCTCCATCCTCTCCGCGGATTCTCAAAGGGTCCGAACATCAGTGGCTGAGAACCACTGTCTTACGCAATTAATAAACGGACGCTATACGAACTGCTAGGTAGTAGTATGGTTCGACGCTTTAAACGGCTAAATAACACTTTTATAACAATTTTTCGGTTGGACAATATAGTTCCCGGCTCATTGTAATTTTCGATGCGCTTAGGTCTCAAGTTACTATTTATGAGATTACCTTCATACAGGACTTAAGTAAGCGCAATCATCGAAATTGCCAATTTGGAATAAACGCAATTTTGATAAATACTATTTTGAAATCTCAGCCACTCATGCCTGAAGCTAAAACTAGGCATACTAAACGATCACGCAATACGGCTCAAGAGTAGCCATTTTTTACAATATATTTGTGAGCTTTCAGTGAAACTGTGTTAGTGTAAACATTCCTCAAAACTACCCCCGAAGTGTTCCTGAACGTAAAAATCAACAAGTTTATCGTTGTGTGAAATGAAAAAGAAAACACAGTTATTTCTGCTTACCACCTGATCATACTTCATTGCGGTCATTATCGTTGAAACCATTCTGTGTTTCAGAATTGTGTAGTAGGGCGTCCCCTGGTAAAAATCTCCTCCGTTCATGAATAAAGCACCTGAATGCTGTGCCTTCAGTTCTTTGACCTATATAGATAATAACAAAATCATAGTTATTCACCTGAAAGTATGAACGTAATACTGAAGCAAGGATATTTTTATTAGTAAAAGTATATACAGGGTAGTATATACAGGCTACGGGTTTTAAGTTGGCAAAAAATGTTCTAACTGCACGGGTGCAGTTAAGTTAATATTGTCGTGGTTGGTTTTTATCCAGCTTGGCGGACCGTGCTCACAATGATGCGTAGAAAAGTGACAAAATGGTAACCGAGGTATTTTTTTTTCTGGAGAGTATTTCGAGGAAACGCCACGATAACAGGGAGGTACCCGTCACAAGTATATCATGTTTACGGGAAAGGGCGTGCTGGGCTCGTTCTTGATCTAATGTAGAAACCAAATGACAAACATTCGGTAACAAATCTCTGATCATCGCAAAGCCCGTAGATTTTCTCAAATATATATAACATTTGTTGAACATCTAATATTGGCCACTTTTAGAAATGCAATTGCAACAAGGTATATAAATCCTATTTATAAAACGTTATATAGTCAAAAAAATTATACGGTTCTTCTCCCGTCTTACGTCCGTCGATCATAATAAACATAACCTGAAGACTAATCTTGTATCATTCACAGCTTAAAATCTAATATCTTAAATAAACAAGCACCTTGTGTAATGAGAATCCTGCATACTCTAATTACACCCTGTGTAATTGTTAGAACTTGTTAGAAAACGATCGTTGTTAGGGATCGGGGAGGCCGATGCCTTTACCATTCAACTAAACTTCAACAGATTACTCACAAAAGAAAAAAAATGGTAGTGGGAAAGATGCATGAGTGCTTTAAATATATTTTACCTCTACCGATTACACAATTCCCACTTTTTCTCTGCAATGATATTGGCACATTGCGCAACTACGGCCGAAAGAATCCCTTGTTTATAGCTATTGCGCTCTCATAGTATTTTTTTGTTTTATTTTCAGAAGAAAATAAATCTGATAATGAAATGTTTGAGTTCCGCCGACTAGTTTCAGATGCGACAACTTTAAGTAAGAACCATGATTTTAGTAGAAATATTATTTTCATTATGTATTTTGAAATTTCATTCGGTTCACAAAATAAATTGTAATACTTTGATGTACCGAATCTATATTTATAATGAATTGTACTTAAACATCCTAAATAAAAATCACTTCTAAGCGCTAAAAACACGGAATATTCTTAATTTAGCTCTTCTGCAATGCTGCTAAGTCGATAATATTTAGGATGGCCATGTGCATTTGTTGATGAGCTCATCTAGTAGAATGCTGTTCACTGATCAAATGAGTAATGCACCATGTTGATGTGCCCACAAAGAACTCAAAACTAACCCTACTGCCTCAAATATTTCAAGCACCTTAAAGACGGTCTTCAATATCACATTCGTATATTTATGGCAGAGCGTGTCGTCATTAAACTAACCATCCCGAATCAGTGTAGCGAAACTGAAACAAACTGCTCTATATAAACAGAAGCCTCGCCGATTCTGGTATATTTAAGGGGTCCTACACTCCGTGCCCTACGCTTCTTACATATAGTAGCCCATACACTAAATAAATTGGAGTGTGAAAGTCAAGCACTTGCATCACAATCTATAGACCATCCCAGAACCGACGTACTTCCGACTAGAGCACTGCACGGGCCCAACTTTCGAGGCCCTTTCTGACCCGGGCTCGCTGACTCCTAGCCGATCCGGACCTCGCCCGATGGAATGCCTACCTAAAACGACCCGGCCCGACCCACTCCCGGCTGCAGGTGCCATTAGAGTGGGAGATAAAGCACAACTCGGACCCGTGCCCGGGCCCCGCTTGGGCCCGAAAATATAGCTAACTACCCGACCTGGCCTGGCCCACGCGCCGGGCCCGGGCTTTCTGGTTACCCCGTTCCCGTTTAGGGCGCAACTTTCGACATCTGAATCACTTTCTGAAGAGAAAATTCACAAGGTCAAAGTGGAGGTCATAAACGCCTCCTAAGTTCTAAAATTATTTAAGCTGTGGAAGTGAGAACGTGAAAGATTCTAAATGGCGCATGAGCTTTTCAAGTTTTAAAATAGTTGCGAGATACAAGGTGTTTCCTGCAAGTTTCCGCAAATTGCTATAGGAATATGTTGTTTGATGTAAAGCGAAACTCTTTGCGAGAACAAACTAGCAGTTTTGGCGGGCCTGAAGCACTGCAAAAACATAATAATTTCGAGACCATTAACTAAAATTAACCTGTTGTTTAATTACTGAAAATAAACACATGGTTTTACTGGGAACCTTGCTAAGTATCATCAAAACCGCTAATTTAACTTTTTTAGAAATATATAAAACAAGGGCAGAATTTTACGGCTTTCTAAAAAAAAAAAAAAATTTACAGATTGGACACGTTTCTACATTTGGGTTTCTTATCGGAGTGCACGTGACAGCGGCTCGAAGCCACCGCTTCGCCTCCCTCGTAGGATGGATCGCACGGGTGTTGCAAATCTCGGTCACTGGGCCAGTGGAGTGCAACTTTCTATACCGCCCATGGAACGCGAATTGGTAAACCCTGGGAGTCCGCAGCGCCATTTGAATCCCCTGGTATCTGGTGGGCTGTACTAATATCAACATGGCGGCACAGCGAACCAAAACCGAAACCGCACGGCAGCGCCATTGTACCTGGATGGATGGGTGATAGCTCGTGCCACCTAGAATAAAAAAAAATATTGCAGCTTTTTGTTCGGGCCCGGTTTTCGCGTTTAGCTGCGATCGTCAGCATACGTTTGTCATCGCATCTGTGGAATCACCTCTGGCCTTCTACCCTACATTGGAGCCTCGGGGACTCTCTCAGCGCAAGCGCTGATCGTGCACGCTGAACCAAGATAAGCGGCGGGTTCCCAAGCGGCGATCATTTTGCGGCAGCGGCAGCACCCAGCGAACATCGCTAACCACTCTGGCCTTCTACCCTACATTGGAACCTCGGGGACTCTCCCAGCGCAAGCGCTTATCGTGCACGCTGAACCAAGTTAAGCGGCGGGTTTCCAAGCGGCGATAATTTTGCGGCAGCGGCAGCTCCCAGCGAACCTCGCTAACCACGTACTACGCCTATTACAGATCGGTAACAACTATATTTCATTACCTTGGCCTAACTTGTGGTGCTGCTGCCGCTGCTGCCACTATTGGTGTGTTAGTGTCTAAACTTGTGTTTCTGCAATCTATCAGAAATGGCTGAAATATGTTCCTCATGTCAGTTGCCAGCCAGCGATACAGAGACGTCCGTAGAATGCTCCGAGTGTGAGTACAAGTACCATTTCGTTAAATATGCCGGAGTAAACAAGAAATCTTTCGCTGGGAAAACCGAGGCCGCTAAAAAGGGCTGGCGGTGCTCAACCTGCAGGAGTGGCGGATTGCAGGCTGGTGGAGGTGAAAAACATCAGCCTGAACTCGATATGAGAAATCTTCTCGTATCTATCAACCAGAAGTTGGAAAGCCTCCCCCTTCTGAAAGAGAAGGTAGACAGTATGGAGCTCTCCATCCAGTTCATGTCTAAAAGCTTCGAGGAAATCAAACAGAACCTCAATACTCAAAAGACCAAAATCAAAGAACTTAGAAAGAGAGTAACAGAACTGGAAGAGAAGGATGATACAAGTAAACGTACAGGATCAGCTCCTGCAGGAGGTTAATGAACTCGAATTTCGGAGCAGGCGTCTCAATCTAGAGGTTCATGGGATCCCTGCGGCGCAGGACGAGAATCCGATTGCTTCGTTGAATGAGGTTGCTAACAAACTAGATTTACCTCATCTCACCGAGTCCGATATTGTATCGGTTCATATAGGCTACCCGCTAGACAATGACATGTGCCCGGAGTGATTATTGATTTCGCAAGGCAACAGACTAGAGATGCATGGCTTAATAAAAAAAATTAGCTAAAGAACAGTGCCCCGCGATTGTTCATTCAAGAGAACCTGACTCGGCGTAATCGGGAGCTTCTTCGGGCAGCTAAAGAACGCGCCAATGCGAAGAACTACGCTTATGTATGGCATACAAACGGAAAGATTCTTGCCCGAAAAACTAAAGGAGCACGCGCTGTTCACATCAAGTGCAGCGATGACCTTGACAATTTGTACACAACTCGGAGGCCAACTAAGTTTTGACAAAAATGACTGTCACTCCCAGTAGATTGCAGATACTACGACGATTCATTTTTCAATCAAATATATCAAAGTTATAATTCACATTTTTCCTTGGTACATTTTATTACCAGGAGCATAAACAATAAACAAGACAATCTAAACATGTTTTTTTAATCATTATGTATAAATCTTGATGCTTTGCTTTGTACGGAAACGTAGATCCCTGAAAAATCTGAGCCCCCTCATTTCAGTGGATATAAATGCACCAGCCTGGACAGGAAAAATAAAAGGGGAGGCGGGGTTGCGATTTATTTAAGAGAAGACATTTTTTTCCATGTGTTAGACGAGTTTTCCGCTATCTCGAAAGACGTCGAGTCTCTTGTTGTGGACGCCGGAAGTGTTATTGTTTGTGTTGTTTATAGACCACCGACTGGAGATAAATCTGTGTTTATATCTTACTCTGAGGACTTGCTTGGGTTTCTTGGCTCAACAGCTAAGCCATTTTTTTTATAATGGGGGATAATGGGGTATATCAATATCAATTTACATAAAGAAGAAAAGCATCCGTTGGAATTACAAAATGTCTTGTGCACCTTCAGATGTATTAATACGGTAACACTGCCCACCAGGGTGACCTCAGATACCGCTACTTGTCTCGACGTATGTATAACTAATTTAAACACTCATGAGTTATCTTCTCTCATTTTTACGCACGACTTAAGTGACCATTTACCTATTTTCTGTTTTGCACCATTCCTTTAAAAAAAACTAACTCAACGTAGCAGTTACAGTTACAGAAAAATAGACGAAGATGTCTTGATAAAGTTTCGTGACCTAATCACTGCCATCGATTGGAACAGTGAGTATCTTGAACACGACCCAAATATCGCGTACG